CTCTCTGCCTCCTTTACTTGCCTTTTCGTCCCCATCCCTGAGCCTCCCCGTCCTGGCAGGCACAGAGAGATTCCCAGAGGCCCCGGGCCCTCCGACATCGCTGGGAAACAGCACACAAGCCACGAGGGCTGGGCAGCCAGACCCAACTCTGGGCAGACGCCATGTTGTGGAGGGGAGTTTAGATGAGCGGTCTTCTCCTACGTGGTCCCGGTAGAAGGGCGTGTGCAGGGAGGTGCTGGGAGGAGGGTGAGGAGGAGCCAGGGAAGGTCTGCAGAGCTGGCTGCCCTCCACACACAGGGGCACCTCCGGGGTGTGCTGGGGAGTGAGGATGAAGGAATAACCAGGAGAGGTGGTGAGGGTGGGAGTTGACAAGAGGCACCCCTTTGGGAGAAATTTTGAAGGCTGTAAAAACGCATGCAGCCCTGGCCGGCTTGGCTCAGTGCATAGAGCGTTGGCCCATGGACAGAAGGGTCCGGGTTCGATTCCGGTCAAGGGCACGGACCTCAGTTGCAGGCTCCATCCCTGGCCCTGGTTGATGTGTCTTTCTCGCATTGATGTTTCTCTCTCTATGTCTCTCCCCCTCCCTTCCTCTCTCTCTCAAAATCGATGGGAATATATCCCGTGGTGAGGATTAACAAAAAACAAGCATGCAGAGCAACTCCTGCAGTGTGTGAGCTGAAGGGCTCAAAAGAAGGCCTCTCTCCCTGGCCAGGTAGCTCAGCTGTTAGAGCGTTGTCCCAATACGGCAAGTTCGATCCCCGGTCAGGGCACATACAAGAAGCAACCAATGAATGCATAAATAAGTGGAACAATAAATCGATGTCTCTGTATATCTCTCTCTCTCCTCTCTCTCTCTCTTTCTCTCTCTCCCCTTCTCTCTCTCACGTCAATTTTTTTTAAAAATATATTTTATTGATATTTTACAGAGAGGAAGGGAGAGAGATAGAGAGTTAGAAACATCGATGAGAGAGAAACATCGATCAGCTGCCTCCTGCACATCTCCCACTGGGGATGTGCCCGCAACCCAGGTACATGCCCTTGACCGGAATCGAACCTGGGACCTTTCAGTCCGCAGGCCAACGCTCTATCCACTGAGCCAAACCGGTTTTGGCTCAAGTCAATTTTTTTAAAAAAAAGGGGGCCGTGAGGTTTCAGAGCCTCTTAGAGACACGGAGTCATGGGGAGGCTGCTTGGGAGGCATGTGAGAAGCTGAGGCTCTCCTTTAAATGTGTTACATTTGCTGGAATTTATAACTGTGGGCCAGGAAGTGGACATGGGGATCTAGGGCAGCAGCTGGTGAGGTGAGACTCAGAGGGAGATGTGGAGAGAGGCCCTGGGTGGGAGGCGGAGCCAGGGAAGGAGACTGAGTGCAGCTGCACAGGCCGCAGACAGGACGGCCTTAAGGAAGAAGTCTACCAGCATCTCCCACTCAGGCCGTGGGCAGAACAGGGTGGAGAAGGGCTGGGGGCGGAGCTGGAGGTGAGGGGGGTGGGCTTCTGCAGGTGGGGACGGGGCTGCATGTCAGGGTCAGGGGAGCGGGTGGAGAGGAATAGGTACAGACCATGATCTCCAGGAGTGTGGGGCAGACACACGTGAACGTGGGAACCGAGGGAAGCCGTGGGCTGAAGGCAGAAGGGAACAGCTGTGAGAGAAGTACCGCCCCCGCTGAGGAGACAGGAGAGAAGAGAAAGGGCCAGAGGAGGTGGAGGGGAGATGGAGATGCTGGTGTTGGGTTTCTCAGCAGCCCTCCCACCCCTCTGTCTGTGTCCGGCCCTGGGCCCACCACTGCCTGTGTCCTTTCTTGCAGTGAGGCAGCGGGGGGAGTCAGGTTGCTGGCCAGGCTGGCTCTTTCTGGGACCCTGACCACCAGCAATTCTGCCTTTTCCCCTTTGCCGTGGACTCCTCTCTCCTTTCCCTGTCACAGGGCCCCTCAGAACTGGGAGCTAGGAATGGGCCAGGGGGCTGTGAACATTAGTGACACCCTCTGATGGCAGGTGGGGACAGGCCTTTTAGGTGTCAGGCACAAGCAGACAGGAGGAAGTGAACGTGGGTAACCCCGAGGAAGGGGGGTGAGGGCCGGTTAATCACAGCATTCTTGGCAGCCAGCGCTGAGACGCCCAGTAACTGCGGACTTAAAGTTGTGAGTGAGTCTGTATCTTCAGGGTCTGGTTACCCACTCAGGCCCCATAGCAACCACTGTGCCAACAGGCCTGTGTGGGGAGGAACTTCAATGGCCAGGATATGACT